TACTAATCAGGAATGCATCCCAATTGTCAGCAACAAGCAGTATCTGTCTACTGACAAGCCATTTCCATAATGAAGTAGCGTAATACCACCACACACAGGCTCCTGAGACTGCTTCGGTGCATGTTCCAAACCCCTAGTGTGACCATATGGCACAGTTAAGATTTTCTTATTGTTATAAACAGAATAGGATGAGCTTTATTTGGCATATTTTCTTAGGATTTTTTCCTCTGAGAAATATATGGAATGACATGCACCAAAAATATCTCTGAGTTTAATCTTACTATCTAAAGACTACAAATTTCAAAGCCTTTCTTATTTATTAAAAAAAAAAAAAAAGCAAGCAAGAAGTGTAGTTCAGTGGTAGACTACTTGCCTAGCATGTGAGAAAAAATAGAAAAAAAAAATATAAGGGCCATAAAACAAAGAAACAAAACAGCAATGGAAACAGAAGGAACTTAAGAGCCTACCAAACATTTCCATTGGGATGGTAGCAGGAACTTCGGCCAGAGGAATCCAGAACCGCCAGGATGGCAGGGTTAGTGGGTGTGTCTTCCTGGACTATGCAAATGAAGCCATTTATCTTGTTGGGCACTTGGATGATGGCTAGATTTCCAGATGGATAGCTGAGATCAGATAAGGTCATATGAGTTGTTCTAACGGTCCTTGACTATCCTGAGAATCAATTTAATGCTCACTTAAAGTATAAAGCAAAAAAAAAGTATAAAGCATTCTGACAATGGGGGCTACTGTTAATACAAAAGGATCCTATAATTTTCATGTCAATCGACATATATTTGTGAGATATAAAAATCTTCAATAAAGTAATAGCAAAATAATCTGCCAATGTATTAAAGATTGTGGACTATGATGAAATAAGGTTTATCCCAGGAATGAAAGTTTGTTTAATATTTGAAAATTAATCACTATAGTCTATCACACTCCTAGAATAAAGATCAAACAACACTATTATCAGCTGAACTCAAAGCATTTGACATACTTCAACATGTTTTCTTGGTAAGAAATCAACAAACTTCAAACACAAGGATAACTTGTTATTAATGTTATTTTATACAAAAGGGGAATTTAAATGTGTTTTTAGAGAAGATAAAAAGAACTTAGTTGTTCTAGACATCATAATTGTTACTTTTCTTGTTTCGTTTTTTCCTCTTTTTTATGTATTTGATGATACTATGCAGCTCAGACTCATAGTGATCCTCTGTTTTCAGCCTCCCCAGTACTGAGATTACAGAGGTGTGCCACCACGCTGGGTGTCATGATGCTGGGTGGTTGGGAGTGGACAGCATGGCATGTGGTGCTGGGGACCACACCCCTGGCCCTGTGCTTGCCTAAGCAGACAGTCCACTGAGCTATTTTGCTGGCCCCATAATTGTTATTCTAAAATGCTATTTTTGCTTTTAATTTTAAATTTTCTTTGTAAAACTTTGTAATATTATCTTCTAACATTCTACAAAAGTATAATCTCTAAAAGACAACCTAAGCAGTATGTAAAGATGGTACATCAAGTCAGGCAGGTACCTGCCTATTATCCCAGCACATGGAAGGCTGAGGCAGGAGGATTGCCATGAGTTCAAGGCCAACTAGGCACTGTCTCCAAAAAACCTTTAAAAAAAGATGATAGTGCATCACTCATATGACATATAAAATAGGACAGACTCCTAACACTAATGCTGACTATGATAAATAAAAGAGGTAGCTCTTTTCTATTCATGTTTTATAGTTCAAAGTGCCCCAATATCCAGATAGGATTATAACAGCTAAAGCCTACTGTTCTTCCTTTAAGACTAGACTATTCAACAACCAAGGCTGGGCTGACCAACCACTCCCCTCCACCTGCCATGCTGGCTCCGACCCTGGGGCGCACTGAAATGGCATTTGAGACTGGGCATGGTGGAGGGCACCCATAATCCTAGCGCTTGAGAAGCTGAAAAACAGAAGGATTACTACAAGTCTGATCTATGCAGTGAGATGCTGTAGATCCTGTAGACCCTGTCCTAAATACATAAAGAACAACAACAACCAAGGCTTGCAGACCAAAGATAAGGAAAATAACTGGACTAAGTAAACAGTCAATATTTTGGCCTTTGCCCTGCAAGGTCAGCCAAAACTCAGAGCATAGTGGGACCTCTCTGAAAGAATCCTGCAACTCTGCTAAGTCATGCAACCTCCCAAGCGGGGACTCCATTGTGCACTGTGCTAAAACAAGGGTTACAAAAAGAGAGAAATGTCCCACATGCTTCCAAGGGAAACTGTAGAGCCAAAGAAGGAAACATCCTCAAATAGGATAAAGGGAGCCTACCAAGACCCCACAGCTAAAAGTATACTTAATATTAGAATACTAAGTGCTTTCTGCCTGGAAATATTATGTAGCTCTTATGTTCAAATATCAGTTACTGGACAGAATTCCAAATGATCAATAACTTTGTTACATGGATATTGAATTTTGTGACTAAAAATGACATGCTGCTCATTGGATGTGGAATCTGGTACATATTTGAGGGGGATCTTTTAAAACATTAAAATATCCAAATTTCTAACTTTTAGGCATTTTGCTCAAGGAAATAAGCAAGAATGTAATAGACTATGCATGGAGTTATTTTCTTAGCCACTGTGTATAATATAAAAATTGTGATACCATCTTTGCTTAGTAATAGAAAGTAGATCAAATGGATTATAGTATGCCCACACAATGAAATACTGTGTGGTCATAAGAACAGTGCTTATGTTATATATTCATGACATTATTTATTATAGTTGGCTTGTAGAAAGGAGCCAGTTATAAATATTGCAAAAATTGATTTTAAGGAATTATATATATGCTTATAAGCAGAAGAAAGAAAGGCAAGTTATATTTAAAAATTTACTAGCTTTTCTCTGGGTAGTAGAATTTTAGGGGTAGTATTTGTCTTATTTTACTATCTCCTCTTCTTTCTGAGCAAATAAAGCCAATAAAAACAACTAGTTGAAAGAAAGGATACAATATTTGTGTTGTGGCATCTGGAAATGAGGTCAGAAACTTGACTCCACTCTTGTAATGCTTCTCAAAGAGCTCGTTCCTCACAATGTATGTTTCAGAGGAAAGAACAAAACATCTAACATTAGTTTCTCAGACACAAGGCATTAACTCTATGAGCGAAATACAACAATGGACATCTGTTGGTGGTGAAATGGTGATACAAAAATTTCCTTTATCTAAATGTTGGGCCCTATTTCAACAAGGGGTATCTTTTTTTTTTTTTTTTTTTTTTTTTTTTTTTTTCAGAACCAGAGATTGAACTCAGGCCCTTGCACTTGCCAGGCAAGCGCTCATTCTACTGAGCCATCTTCCCGGCCCAACAAGGGGTATCTTTAGCTATCATCTAGAGATTCTTCCTAAGCCTTAAAGCATAACTTTCTTTTTCCCTTTTGCAATAAGAGATAGGGTCTTCTTGCAATTTGTTAAACTGCCCAAGCTGGGTTTAAACTTTGGACTTTTTTTTTAAAATATAATTTTCTTTTATTTTGAAGGGTAAAAATAAGAGCAAGAGAAACAAAAAGAAAGACAGAAACAGGGTAACATATAACAAAACATGTTATAGATTTTCAAAACAAGACTAGCTAATTACCAATGATAGATATAGTACCTATTTTTATTGTCAGATCTGTTGCTCAGATTAACAGATATAGTTATGCAAGATGGGACATCTGATTGAATATTAACACACCCTTTCAGCTTTGGCCCTTTCTGTCTCAGCCTCCTAGAGTGATAAGGTTACTGGCATGTGCTATCAGGTCCAGCCTCAGCAGTGGACAAAATCTTTCTGGTGAAATTTTGACATCATATACTAAACTTTTATTTTTTCTTTATACACATATTACTATAAAAACAAAGAAAGACAAAAAGTCTTCCCAGTGCCAAGGCAGCCTTCTACATGCCAACTATAGTAGCGATCACATCAATTTCAGAATTCTTAGAACCGAACACTAAAAATAGTGACTATTACCATTTGTAAATTGTAGTCCAGCAAAAGGATGACTTGAAAAAAGAAAAAAGTATTCAGTATAAGCTGCAGCAGCTGGTGTCTCCAGGGTTGCTCCTGAAGTTCCCCTGAGCACAACACTAACGGAGCGTGGGAGGTGCAGAGAGAGGTGGCGGAGGATGCTCTTCAACCGCAATTCCGAAGCTCAGTGTGGAGATGAATCTGTACCGTACAATATTCTGTCATGAACTGAGCATTCAACTTAACTCTATGAATTCCTGATCCTGAATTGTACTGAAGTGGATATATAAATTTATAGGGCTAAACAATAAACAATCTAAGGTTTTACATAAATATTGTCCTTTTCTTGGAAATATATTATCCCATAGTTTAAAAATTATGAAATCTGGAATCCATCAGTCAAGTGCAAAAGCATGCTGTGGCAGTAATGAGTAATGAATAACAAAAGAGCAAATACCCACGCGCTCATATCCAGGGCGAGACATGGAAGCACTCGGATGCTCTGTAACTCTCACGTGGGTCCCACCCCAATACCAGTACTTCTCCTTGCAGTTCACACTCTGATTTCTCATTAATTCATTTGCTTATGTTTGCACTATTATCATTTCTAGACAGTATAAGTTTTGTCTTTAAAATCTTACATAAATAGAATCATACATTGTGTATTTTTAATATCTTGCTTCTATCAATTATTATAAAATAATATGCATCCCAGTTAGTGTCAGATATAAATTAAGGGTATTAGTGTTTTCATGATATACAACTTTTATTTATTTAAACTATATGGTTTTGGGGGCTGGTGGGTTACTTCAGCTGTATAAAGCACCTTCTTGAGCAAAATCAATCAGGGGCAAGGACTGCAGTTCGATCCCC